CATGCGCAGAACTTAAAAACTTTATAAAAAAGAGATATATAGTTAACTGCATAGGCAACAAAGGTATTAAAATTAAAGTTTAGGTTAATCAATCGCTAAGTTTTTTTATGTATTACAAACAAACACATTCACACACGTACCTACATTTCGAATTTTCCCACTCGTACAGTAACAAAAAGTCAATATCATACTCACAATTTCTACGACTAGATATGTAGTGATGACAATGATTATAAATCAAAATCCAAAGACATGAAAACTTTCTTTTCTATAAGACACTAACATGATTTGTTCGTCCACGATACACCTACCAAAGCTAGTTCATACACCAAGAAGCAAACACTCAACCCTACCAAGAAAGAACACACGGATCGTATTCCACTTATGCTAACATACTATCAGACCAAAAACAAGATCAAAGATATTATACTAAACAATTACACAATACTTATTGAAGACCCTACCACTAAATCTCTTTTCAAGGACTCCATTATTTCTTACAGACATGACAAAAACGTAAAAGAAATCTTGGTGCACAGTAACCTTAAACAAAAACAAAATGATACTCCAGGCAATCACACATGTAAACAAAACAGGTGTGTCACCTGCCCACATATAAACAGCACCACACATATACAAGGAAAAAACACAACTTTCAACAAGACAATCTTTTACATCTTCCTCTGAATGTATGATTTACTGCATAATTTGCAAAAAAATACAACAGTTTATACGTTGTACAAACAGGCCACCGACTCAGCAATCAAGCATGAGAACATCTAAACCATATTAAACTTAGGGGAACCAAGATATACCTACAGACAAACACTTCACCATCAACAACCATATAGTTAAGGACTTTTTGATTCTGGGACTTATTCATGTTCCAACAGACATTCATAAAAGAGAATGACTGGAAAAAAGATTAATCTACAGTCTGGGAACCCTACAACCATCTGGTTTAAATGAACACTTCTCTTTCACCTGACTTGTAATATTTATGTATAATTTGCAGAGGAAAATATATATATATATATATGTTTTTAAATATTATAAGTAGCACTTAACAATAAACACTCGACTACTCACAACACTGGAAAACCAAGAAGTTAAGTAAGCCTTTTACATTATAATCTGTCAGCCATCTCTGAACCCCAATCAAGGCATGGGTCTCAATCCAATATGGACTCCTTTCCGCAAAAACAAACAGACCAAGCATTAAACCCTAGCTAAGTTCTGATGATCATTACAGAAATGTTCTAGAAAAAACTTCAGTTTTACTGAAGTTTACAGAACTGCAGTAAGTTGGGTTGAATCTGCAGTTCCACTGACAATGTACTGTACAATTATAGTGGTACTATTTTTTTTCTTATTATAATTTAGCAATGTAACTTAACAAGGACTACAGCCTAATAGCAATTTAATTGTAGTTATTTTACACTACTAAGGTAGTTTTAATCCTTCTTGCCCTCAGCTCAAAACTTCTTACTCTGGGTGAAGTTTTTTTCAGGATTCCACTCATTCAGCTCTCAATTACAGCTGTATATTACTTATGTAGCTAAATTAATTTAATTTGATGGTGATCTTAACTAGCACCACTCGGAATGTCACCCAAAAACTTCTAAGGCAGACACATAATATACAAACAGAAATAAACATTACAATTGTAAAATAAGTATACTTTACTCACAGCTATAATAATGCTTCCTGATGAAATAAAAGCATAAAAGAATTTTGTTCCAACTACCAGCCACCAACTGTAAATACAAAAAAAATGTTAATCAGTGTTCTACGGTTAAACTGTACTTAATAATTTAAGATATTATACTATGAAAATTAAAGATACAAAAACTAATTTGAGATGTAAATGTTTTTCTGAGGTTCCTTTGGAGAGGTTTTTTGAAGTAATAAAAAACATTTAAAACATGTAAATTTAATTATGGTAGAATGTATAGTCTTTATTGTAGAAAGTAAAAAACTTAATATGAAAGACAGAAATCCAACAAAGATACATCATATTATCTAATGTTCTTTCTTAAGTATTTTAAACACTCAAGTGTCTGAGTAATGGACCTATTATACCAGAAGAGACCATATCTTATCCAACAGCAAGCCAGGCTTCAAAAAAGGCACCAATACGAGGAAGATATGATCATTTTGTCAGATACATTGTGAGAGAAATGTTAACGCAAACCTGTGCTGTGGTCATGGGTGTATCATCTCTAATAAGAATCTACACTGCCAAGCTAAAACTCTTTACTGCTACCTGCTTAAATGATGCACGAGTCAAGATGCTTGTTGCCTGGATGTTGCTCACTAATTAATATCTCTGAAACGTCCGCCCCTTTGAAGTTCATTTGCAAATGCAAGGTTGCAAGGTGCTTAAATAAATGTAACCAATGTGGATGTGATCATGATTGGATACCAGTAACTACAAAGATAAAAGCCATGAAAGAGGCATGCAAAAGGAGGAGATTTGTTTGTTTGAAGTTAAGCATAAAGATACACAATGGGCTATCTGTGCTCAGCCCACCATGGGTATCAAAACTACATTTCCAGCATTGTAAATCCACAGACATACTGCTGTGCCACTGAGAGGCAAAGGAGGAGAGCTCTCGGAAACAGACAAAAAAAGACACAGCTATATGTTCAAGGTGTTCATGGAACACGTAAAAAAACAAAAAATGGTAGAGTCAGGGTTTTGGTGCCTTTTAGCAGAGCTATTGAGGCCAAATATCAAATCCTGAGAATGTCTGAAAGTATTCAGAACAACTTTCTGTACTGATGCTGAGGGCTTATCTTTTAACAGTCAGATAAAGAGAAAGATAAACAATCTGAAACAAGATACAAAGTTCATCATCTCGCTTATAATTTTGAAGCACCATACTAGTAATGTTTTCAAGAAATAAGTAAGAACAACAGGTTATATATTTACTTTTAACTTTTCAAATTCAATTATTTTGATAATCTACATGAGAACCTGTGTCTTTCTCTCCAGAAATCAGACAAACCTGGGTTGGATCATCTTGAACCTACCGTTTGGACAGGTCTGATGAAGATGAACATTGGCTTTGTCAATAGAAAATTAAGACACTGTATACTTTTTAAGAGAATGCTGAAGTAAAGGATGGTGTTACGAACAGTTGTTGATGAGAAGAAAGCCATGACAGAGCAAACAGGACCAAGTTTGGACACGGAGAATAATATGACTGACCACTCATTCTACTGAAAATGATACAGCTAATTAAGTCTAACATCAAGCCCAATAAATCCCACTACTCAAATGCCAGTTTTTAGAGTTTCTGGGGTTAGCTGAACACCACCCACCTAGAAAATCTGTTAAATTTTTTAAGACTTAGTGTTAAGATCAAACTTCATTTTTGGATCATTATTCATTTCAAAAGGTCTTATCTGACAGTTTTTTTTTTTTAGCTATCTCATATTTTAGAAAACTGATTATTTAAAACTTCTTTTACTATTTACTATAAAGTTTTACTGTGTAAACACAATTATGATTGGTTATTAAGTTTGTTACCTTTCCAGATGAAAGCCCTCAGGAACTTGAGCAGCCAGAGTTGCCACAACAACAATAACTGGCACAGCTGGATCAAAATATTGGAAAAAAAATTAATGTATAGCAATACAAGAGAACATTCCAGTATTAACTTACATATAATCATATTGTGTGTAGCATCAATCAACTGCAATATGAAATGTAAGATTACATGAAAATTTTGTGTAACAGCTATAAGTAGGAGGTTACTTATAAAAGTACAATTCTGAATCGGTACCTCATCATCAGACGATTAAATCCTTCAACCTTGATATTAATGCAACTTGTAAGATAATAAAAGTTGGGTTCAGAAACGAGGATACTCATATATGTATATTACAAATTAATATTAATAATATTGAATCAAAGCAGTGATGAAAAACGTACAGTTTAAAATAAGAGAAATTCTAAGTTATCAATGATTAGTCATGTCACTCCAAGTAACAGCACTCACTATGCAAAGATTCTGGGGCTTGAGCCCCACCTGGTAAATGAAAACAAGTAGACATTGGTGACTGATGTCCCTCCACCTTTTATCCAAATGAGAATCATTCTGAATGTTCAACAAAATAAGCTTAAAAAAATTAAATACGTAAACTTGTTATTCCAGTTTAATAAATGACACTGACTCATCCAATCATGTTGTCTTGTGCAGTTACCTTCGTTGCATACGATGAATGACAACTCATGTTTGACCATGTGTTTACTTACATCCACCACATATGAAGGCAAACCATGTCAAAGGTCAACCACTCTGTTAGAAAAATAAAACTGTTTTAGCTGAAGGTGATCCCTACCCTGTCAGAATTTATATTTGTGTTCTCATCATTAAGTATGAAAAAAAAAAGATTATAAATCAACACTGTCAGTTCCGTTAATAATGTTCAACACCTCAATCATATCAGAAATGGTTATATAGACCCACTTTTTCCTCTTTAATTCGCTATGGTCATTCAGTAACGTAAGGGAAGGCTTGATAAATGTCAGAATAATAAAGGCTGATTTTGAGTTTTTTCTTATTTTAGTGGATGGGACAACCAAGTGGACCAACAAGTTCCTTGATGTCCTTAAAATTGTACATGATGTTATGTTATATAAAGAACATAACTGTTTGATTTGTTAAACATCAACAAATAAAGCAAATTTTAAAGTATTTAAATAAAGAGTAGGCTTACATCAAACTGATTTGTTTCATCTAGGTTTTTATTAGTGCTAGATTTTGTTGTTCTTGGAGAACTACCATCAAACTCGATGAACAACGATGATGATATCTTATGAAGAACGGATGCATAACACTACAACTTCCTTGTAAGTGTTGAACACTTAAGCTGAAGATGAATTGCTATTTATGGACTAACAAAGTTTATCTGTGCCATCAGAGCAACAAAATGATATTTTTTTATGAACATAACAGAACAAGCATCCTTTATTTCTCACTACAATTTTCTTTTTTACAGTTTAAACTTACCCCATCCCATAGCAGCAATCTTTAGTTCTAGATTGTGAATACTGCGTAAATTAACAAATTCAACATAGACTGTGAGACCTAAACAAAGCTGGATAGAGAAGGCACCCAGTAGACAGAAGACCAGCAATGAAATAACATGAGGATAGTACTCCTGTAAAAAACCAAACAAATAAAAAACATGAGGATAGTACTCCTGTAAAAAACCAAACAAATAAAAACCCTTTGATGATAGTACTCCTGTAAAAAACCAAGCAAATAAAAACCCTTTAATGATAGTACTCCTGTAAAAAACCAAGCAAATAAAAACCCTTTAATGATAGTACTCCTGTAAAAAACCAAGCAAATAAAAACCCTTTAATGATAGTACTCCTGTAAAAAACCAAGCAAATAAAAACCCTTTAATGATAGTACTCCTGTAAAAAACCAAGCAAATAAAAACCCTTTGATGATAGTACTCCTGTAAAAAACAAGCAAATAAAAACCCTTTAATGATAGTACTCCTGTAAAAAACTAGACAAATAAAAAACCCTTTAATGATAGTACTTCTGTAAAAAAACAAGCAAATAAAAACCCTTTGATGATAATACTCCTACAAAACTAGCAAATAAAAACCCTTTGATGATAAATTAAAGGGTTTTTATTTGCTAGTTTTGTAGGAGTATTATCATCAAAGGGTTTTTATTTGCTAGTTTTGTAGGAGTAGGATGATATACCTGAAGTCAAATTAGATCAGCAATAACAATACTTTGACCATAACAAGAATATGAAAAATCGTTACCAGCTTTATGAGTATCAAATAATGTTGCTATACTCCTGCAGCACAAATCAACAGATCAACAACATAAAGAGGCATTCATTTTGAAACATATGGAGACAGTATTCCAGTAATACTGTCCAAATAATAAATACATTGAATTAGTGCCATAGTGACTTAAAATATATTAATTACGAATTTATCAAACTATCAATGAAAGATTCACTACATGTTGATGTATAACATTTCCAGGGCGTTTATTGCTGAAATTATATCTCTTGCTATATATATTCTATAATGTCATAATATAATTAAATTGATAAATCTCTTTCAGAAAAAAAAAGAGCAAGAAATAAAACCTTACCAATGACAGAGGACCCGATAACAATCTCAGGAACGTTATATGAAATCCAAGCACTGTGAGTGTAAACTGTATTTTGAGGGCTGTAATGGCACCACTGATTTTCCTAAATGGTCAATACATTCTTTTATTCTTTATATGAACTAAGTTTCTTAATACGGAATTATGTGACAGCTATTTTATTAAACATTATCATTAATCATACTAATACCCTGAAAATAGAAAATTTCTCGATAATTTTCACTTTCGTGTATAATTTGTTCTTTCAGGACAATCCTTTCAACTTTGTCAGAAACAGTATTAAAAAAGTGGCATAATATCACAATTTGTTTGTTTGATGTTAAGCACAAAGCTATGCAATGGACTATCTGTGCTTAACATGTCTTTGGCAAGTTAAGCAAATAAACTTCACATTGTTTTTAATTATAATAAATGAAAGGTAAACTTGTGAGATCTCAAAATCTGAACTATGAGTATAATTTTCATGGGAATAACCTTAATTGTGTTTTTGTTGATCAGTCTGTTAAGCCATCCAAGCAGTGTGTGCTGTTGCTAGTGGCAGGGTAATTAGGATTTTAGGTTGTATGTAGAAAAATACTGAATACAAGTCTAAAGAGGTTACAATGACATTGTACAGATCGTTGGTTAAGCCATATTTGAAGTACTGTGTTCAGTCTTGGGCTCTTTACCTTAGAAAGGACATTGAATTGTTGGAAAGGGTCCAGAGGAGGGTTACTAGGATGATACCTGTAATGGAAGGGCTTTCATAAGAGGATAGGATTAAATCTCTGAACTTGTTTCCTCTTGAAAAAAGAAGAGTTAGAGAGGATCTGATTGAGTGTTTAAGATTGTTATTGGAATTGATGGTGTTGATGCATCATGTTTTTCATATTTAATGGTGGAAATGGTAAGACAAGGGGACACAAGTATAAATTTTGGCAAGGTAAGAGTAATCTTCAACTAAGAAAGCTTTATCTTTCTAAGAGGGTGGGTTGGCCTTTGGAACAAGTTGCTCTCAGATGTGGTAGGTGTCTTTTAGTGTTTAATTTAAATTAGTGGATGGGATGGCTTAGATAAACCTTGTCGTCCTTTAATGTTATGTTAACTTCTAGACACACGTTACACTAAAAACACATTTAGTTCTAAAAAGCTGATTCAATATCTTACCAGAATATTAACACATTGCAGATGGATCATGAGTTTATTCATGTTTCGTGCAGAGCGTCTTTGTGTGCCATTTATTAAAACATGGCATCTGAAAGGAGTTGAAAATGTTTTATTTTGTTACGGATGGTTATTATTTTTCTGTTTTTGTTTACAATACCCACATTTTTATAAATGGCTTCTCACAGAAAACTTAACGTGTTGAGTGAAGA